TTTGGATGTAAGTTAAAAAAGAAACTAAATTAATTGTGGATCATCGATTGTGGCATAAGCATAAAATAAAAGGATTTGTCTTTTGTTCAAAATTCAAATAAAATGTTGCAACAGTTTGTCTTTAATGGCGTGAAAAGTTTGAAATTTTTTATTTTGGGTCCCTTTTTTTCAGTAGGTTTGATGTTACTTAGGTGCAATCATGAGCTATTTATATTATTTCTGATAAATATACATATATTATACAAGTGGCACTTTTTAAAAAATTATATAAATAAAAATATAATAAATACACATTTAATCTAGACTATGGAATAATAAATACACATTTAATCATACAGAGGTCATGAGAGCCTTCGTAATAAATGCTCTGGAATTAGACTTTGTACTAGTATTCGTGTATTTGCACAAATATAAAAAATATTTTTTTTTATATTTATTAATTAGACATATACTTCTATCATATAAAAATTATTATTTTTTCTTAAGTTATTTTTATCATTCAAAATTAATTGAGATTTAAATTTTATTTTAACCATGCAACGTTTACATTAGTAACATGAATAAAATAATTTATATATTTGTGGCATATATTAAGAAAATTAACATAAATAAAAAAAATTATTGGTGTTTTTGATTTTAGAAGAAAAAGAATATGTGTCAATCATATTTTTCTTCCAACAATGCAACCCTAGGGGTTACAGCTCTGAATGTGTCAATCAACTTTAAGTTCTAACATTAGCCGTTACACATTTAAATATTTTGCTACCAAATTTAGAATTAATTTAGTAACTGATCCAAAAAATAAATAATAAAAATATATATATATTAAGGTGTAAAGATTTTAGCCGATTAGTGAGTAATTAATTAAAAAAAATGTAACTTCCTTTAGAGGGAAATGAAAATAGATTTTATTAAATATTTTATTAAATGCATCAGCTAGTAATTATATATATAGATAGATAGATATAGATTAGACATAAATAATTTTTTTCAAACTTGATAAATGTACATTTAATTTTGTTATTTTTTCTCTTAGTACACATTTTCTTTTTAGTTTGAGCAAGTAAGAATCTTACCATCTTATAATTTCTCTCATAAATTATTTATTATTTACAAATCACTTTTTGCATTGTCTATTTTTTTTTCATCAATTAATCCATCAAAATTTTTAAATAATTTTTTTATTTTTGCAATAACTTTTATCATATATTTCTTAACTCAACACCCGTGTAGTACACGAATATTGTACTAGTATATTTTATATTTATATTATGAAACATTTACTTCTATTTAAATTGTTCAAACTACAAAACTTCAATTTAAAAATATACATATCTAATAAAAAAAATAATAGCTATTCACCCGTTAATTCTGACTCGCTATAGTAGCCTTATTGCAGTAAACAACACCACAACCACAAACATTTTATGATCAGATCTCTTTCAAATGAAAAACACAAACAAATGCATTAACTAAACAAAAGGGGAAAGTAGAGAAACGAAAAGAATACAATTTCACCATAAAATAGTAGGGAAAAAAAAAAACATATAATATGCCAATAAACAAATCCCAGAAAAAGAGTTCACAGTAAACAATTAACACAAATATTGCACTAAGCTACAGTCTACACACAAAATGGCCCAACGCAGAGTAGAGTTTGTTATTTGCAACTTTTGCACTACGAAGTCCTTCGGAAGAATACGAGAAATCGAACCAACTACTGAAAGACAAAAAACAAAATAAAAGCCACAAGAAGTTGAGTACACTCCACACAGTTCAACAATTTTAGCTCCTTTCCTCATAGCAAAATTATGAGAAGTTTGAATAAAATGGGTGCCAAAAGTATAGTTTGCTGTTTGCATACTAGTCAGATTGACTATTAACAGAGAAGAAAAGAATCCATTCCTGGAATTTACCACCTTGACCCTGACCTGTCAAAACAAAACGATACTATTAATCGGTTGATTAAAAATAAATTCAGACTAATAGGGAAATTCTTACCATTAATGAACACACATACACGTGGGTGTGTGTGTGATCCAACGGTAAAAAACCCGGTAGAAAAAATTATAGGCTTTACCCAAAGGTCTCTGCATGCTGACAGCTCAATTATTACAGCTAATAGACTATATTATTTAAGCAATAGTTTTGAGTGACTTTTGAAGTCTACCATTTTTCATCATCTCACAGAATAGCTAGTTAATTAAACCCAATGAAGAAGTAGAAGCATGTCACTAAATGAACGCATTTCATCTTCTCTTCTTTTATTTTTTTATTTTTTGCCTTTCCTACTAGAGAATAGTGCGTGAATTTTTTAAAGAACAAGGAATCTGAAAGTGGTGATTGCATGAGTTGAAACTGAATGATGAAAATTTATGTCACGATGTGATATAGAAATAAATAGTAACACCACATTTCATGATTGAAAAAATGAGTCTTTTCCACGAAGCAGATTCGAGATAGATCCTCATGGTGTGTGTATGCATCAGATGGTTTCATTGCATTAGACAAGCCATGTCACGAATTAAAGGTAAACTAGTATTCGACCTGTGCATTTGCACAGATATAAATAAATTATTGTGAGTCTGTACATATAATGATTAATTATTTTTCTTTCACTTTTTTGCAGACCAAATTTGCAATTAAAAGCGTTGGAATATTTTTTTTTAAATTGCGTTTATCTGATTGGATGTAATGTATATTTTGGTACGTCTTTTATTTGTGAATTATTTATTATTTATTTAGGAATTTCAAATATATTTTTTATTTTCAAAAATAAATAAATAAATGTAACAACAATAATAACATCTAATCACATTATACGGTCAACACATTATATGGTCAACTGTCATTAATCAAAAGTTTAAAATGATTTTTGTAATTTTGAAGTGACGAGTATTAATTATTTAATGATTAAATGAAAGATTAAATACATCAAAATGTAACGGTTTTTGGAGGGAAAATTGTTAAATTGCCACATAGGTAAAATTAAATAGGTTTTATTAAATTCTATTAGCTAGTAATTATATATATATAGATAGTAAAAAATATATAAACCGAGTGAACCCCAGAATTTTTCATATGCAATCCTCCGCATCCTCGCTAGAAACTAAAATATATCTCACGCCTTCAAAAATTTCTCAAACGATCCAAAGATAAATGCAAAAAATCCACACGTGCAGGAGAAAATCTAGAATACAATAAATATTTAAAAGAAAACAGTACCTGTCTATCTCTCGGCTGCCAGCAAATCCTCTCCCCCCAAATGATCTTCTGTCATTCCCGGTCCCACGAGACCGTGGCCTCTCATTGTACTCCGAACCTCTAGGGTCCTCAAATCCTCCATGCCTAAACCCGAGCCTAGGCTCCTCATAAGCTCCCTGTCTCGAAAAATTTCTCTCTCTAGAATTGTCATAAGAACCTGGCTGAGAAGGTGGTCTATTGGGTTCTTCGTATTTTCCATGCACAGAAGGTGGTCTAGATTGCCCATCTTGTGATCCCGGTCTAGAAATTTTCCTTTCGAATATCTTTTGACTGTAATGGACTTTGTCGTCCAGCTGGCGGACGAGCAGCTCCAAATCACGTTCCTTTTGAGATATCAGATCGTGTTTGGCGGTTTGGTCTTCGACGGGATTTTTCAGAAGTTCGTTTTTCAGGTGTTCGATTTGTTCCTTGAGATTCTTTTCTTCCTCTGTTTCGGGCCTGAAAGAAGCTCAGTTTAACGAACTTCATTATTAGAACTAACGAATATAATCATCCATAGGACCGATACGATTATACCTGAGTTAGACGTAACAGATATGTGAAACAATGACAGATTAATACAAAATATAAAACTCTAAAAGGAAATATATCTAAAGTCTAAAAAGAGACTTTCGTGTCCATAAACAGATGAATTGTTCAATAAAATCTTGAAAATTCAGAAATAGAAAAAGCATGCATGAGTAAAGAGATGCATTATGCATCAATGTTGATACACAAAAAAAATTCAGTCAATTACGAAGAAGTCAAGAGTTCCACCGACTCAATAGAGAGGGTACAGTTCCCAATATATTATGGCCTGACCTTCTGTTTCACATTTAAAATTTCATATTTCTATTTCAAAAGGTTCACTATACTTCATTGAAAATTACATCCCATGGAACAATCTCACTCCATACCCAACAATCTCAACGTATAGTCAAAATAAAGTTCGAATACCACTATAAAGCCAAACAGGCACAAATAAAAGAAAAAGGAAAATGTTTGTCAGCACACACATCCACCTACTATAGATGTAACTTCTTGTTTATAACAATCACAACAATTGACTATTATTGTTGGTTCGGTAAACTTCAAACAATTATCAGAAGAATTAAAAAATTCTATGTGGCATTATCACACAAACGGCTGCAAGTTCATCACTGCAAACGATCGCAAAGTCTCATATTCTTGATGATACAAGCACAATTGTCCTCTTTTCCTCCAATATTATCTTATTTAAACAATGCATTTCTGTTTTTCAACCAAAAGCAGAACTTTTCGAGCACCACCATTCTCAATAAACCTCTATCACGCTAAGTTAAAACACTTCTCGAAATTATTTATCAGAACCTCAGCAATCCACGATATATAAACTTTCCTCACAATATGGACATTCAATCACAAAACACATGAATTCACAATTTCACATTGAGAAAAACTACACACTCAGGACACAATTTCAGTAATAAAATGCATTTCACGATGGAGGATTACCTTTCGACCCGTCTATTATCCAGCTCAAGATCTATTTTTTTCCAATCCAAACCCTTTTCCTCGAGCAAGACTTCTCTAGGCTTAGCATTCCCAAAAGGATTCACTTTTGGTCTTTCCTTAACTACCTCTTCACCCCCCAAAGCCATAGGCACATCTGACCTGCTCGATTGCTGGCTCCCGGGCCTGCTCGAGTGCGAGCTCATGGGCCGGCTCCCACCACTAACTGAAGACTGATTCTTCATTTCGACCTCCAAATCCAGCTTTTTCCAATCCAAACCTTTCTCGGCCAAGACCTCTTCCCTGGGCCGGGCCGCCCCAAACGGATTTGGCTTGTTGACTTTTGGGCCCACATCAATTTCGTACTTTGTAGCGTCAGTGTCTGAAGCCGATCTCTGCTCATTACGCGTCCAACGATCTTGCTCGGGTCTCGGGAATCCCGACCCAAAGGCCTGTTCATTGCGAGCCCAACGATCAGACTCGGGCCTGGAGAATCCTGATCCGAAGCCCGAAGATCTAGCCGGCTGCGTTTGTGGGAAATGCTTTTTGACAGAGGCCCAGTTGTCCACCTCGTCGGCCCGCGATCCGCCGCCTGGGCCCCCGCCTCCGCCGAGCGAGCTGTACCTTCCGCCGGGTCTATCCTGACGCGAATCGTAATCGGGTAGGGTTTGCTTCTTCGTCGAAGCCCAATTATCAACCTCGTCAGCTCGAGAAGGTTGATTCAAATCAGAAACCCTAGATTCCGGCGGGGGGGGCCTGCGATTGTCATCGTCGAAACCGTACGACCTCCGGCCGTCGTACTCACGCGGACGACCGGTGTTGGGGCCTCCGGATCCGGGGCGAGACCCGTAATTACTGAACCCGCCGCCCAATCTTCCGTGTTGCATTTCGTCGGGGGACCGCTCCTTGGGGCCGGTCGGGAGGCGGAGAATTTCCTCCGGCGTCAGACCGCGGCTCGAGGCCGAGCCCGAATGGGTGGAAGACGGCTTCATCGTGAACTCCTGCAGGGACATCTTCTTCGTCTTCTTCTGCTTCGCCGTCGTCACGGACTCCTTCAGGCTGGGGAAACTCGACGGAGGCTTCGAGGCGGCGGCTTTCTCCGCAGCCTCCCGCTCCTCGGCCTCCGCGCGCTCGGCCTCAGCGGCCCAGTTTCCGATTTTGCCCCATGGCGATTTCGACATTATTTTTTTTTTCTCTCTGTTTTTTTCGGGGGAAAGATCTGAACTTTGACACAAAAATGTCTCATTATTATTCCAATTCATGGACTTAAATTTGAAAGCCAAGAAAATAAAAATGATTTATTATTATTATTATTTTTTTTTGTGTGGGTGAAAGTAGGTGTCAACAAGATTCACCAACCGAGCCCATAATACTTGAGCTTGAGACTTTAAGGAGTTGGTTAGTTAGCTCTCACTTTAAATCGTTTATTAATTCAATTAAAAAAAATTATCTAAAAGTTTATATTTTTGAGTTATGTGAGTCTTATCTAGCCTCTTTAATTAAACGAGTTCAAATTAACTAAATTATCAAATGATTCAAGCTAAACTCAAAACTTAATGAGGCAAATTGAGATTACGAGCAATTCTCAACAAATTGGGGTCCAAAAAAATGGGATCCGAATTGATGTGATGACGTGGATGTAAGTGATTGGCCAAAGGCATGGAAATAGCTTTTGTAGCAATCATACGTCATAAAGTATTTTCTCGTGCGGTATCACATGGTGTATATATATGCGGTTTTGATGTAATGAGGATGGAAAATTATGTATAGAGAAAAAGCATGTGATATATACTACATTGTCACAATCAAATGGCATATTTTTGGTTCACTTTGAGTGGGCATAAAAAAATTGTACGAATTTGAGAATCTTGTTTTATTGCCTAATGCTTTTCATGGTTCCTCCATATTGAAACGATTTATGAATAGGCATGTTAGAGCCACGCACTCATTTTTTAGTTTGTGTTTCAAACTCGGCCACTTTAACTTCGTAAAAGTTTGATCAGACTCGTTTAGTAAATTTAAAATCATAAATAAATTGTATGCATATAAAATTTTAGGAAAAAAAAATTTTAATCTCCCAAAGTATGCATTCTTGGAGTTTGCCATAATTTTTTTTTTTTTGTACATTGCCTTCCAATGTAATCGAAACTGACAATTTGCCTCCTCGATTAAAAACCTTAATATGACACAAAAGAGTTTTTAACTCAATTAATGATAAATTTTAATTAATCTTTAAAATTGATTTAGGGCTTTTAAAGCCCATGACGAGACGAACAAAATGAGGTATGATTTGTAGAATTCTAAAAATTGATACCTCTATAATCGATCCACGAAGATAGTAGGAGCACGTGTGTATAGAAAAAATTTTAATTCAAGTTTTTTGATAATCAAGATATCCGATTTTCGATTGGTATGTGTCATTTGAAAGCTAGTAGGACAAATTTTATAATGCGTAAATCTTATGAAAATCCAACAGTCGGATTTTGATAAGTATTTAGAAATCTACTAATCAATAGTTAGCTTTTTTTAGGCTACTAACCCAAATCCGACCATTGGCTTTTCATAAGATTTACTTCGATAGAAAACTCGTCCTCCAAGCTTTCAAATGACACCTCCCAATCGAAAATCGGATATCTTGATTATCAGAAAACTTGAATTGAAATTTTTTCTATAACATACGTGCTCCTGCTATCTTCGTGGATCGATTTTACAGGTATCAATCTTTAGAAATCGACAAACCATACCTCATTTTGTTCGTCTCGCCATGGGCTTTAAAAATCTTAAATCAATTTTAAAGATTAATTTAAAATTTATCATTAATTGAGTTAAAAACTCTTTTGCGTCATATTAGGATTTTTAATCGATGAGGCAAATTGTCAGTTTCGATTACATTGGGAGGCAAATTGTCAAAAAAAAAAAAGTTTTTATGGCAACCTAAAAAATGGCATACTTTGGGAGGTTAAAAAAAAATTTCCCAAAATTTTATGCGTTCATCTGTATGTTTGGCTCGATTGTTCTTAAGTTTTTAGTTTGTGCTTCAAGTTATGCCTGCTTAACTTCGTGAAAGTATGATCCAGACTTGTTAAATAAGTTTAAAGTCCCAAAATATTTGTTTTCATAACACGATTTATACATTTCCGTGCATATTTGTCTCAATTGTCGTTTAAAACCTATAAAATATATATACATATTGTTTGTACTATTTTTGTTACGTTTTTCGTTATTGTTTTGTAATTCCTTTTCTCCTGTTTTAAGTCTTTTTGTTAGTTTTTAGTTAGTTTTGTGTTTTATTATGTATTTTGTTTCATTTTGGTTTTCTTTGTGTTTTTCGTGTGTTTTTCCGGTTTTTCTTCGTTTTTGGTGTGCAGGTCGAAAGTCTCGTGAGGAGTCGATTATAGACCGGGCAATCATGGTGGACTTATTGGCTACACATAGGAAAAACCAGAATTTGATTTCGAGTTCGGATGAATCCGGACGGAACCAAAATGCGAAGCCGTGCAAGTTACCGACCCTTTTAAAAGTTGGAAATTCCACAAAATTTGTATCCTGGGCAAAAGTGTGGTTTTAAAGCATCATTGGATAGAGGGTTTTGTTAGATAAGCGTAGGAAAAAACGGAACTCAATTCCGAGTTCGGACGAGCCAAAACGAGCCAAAAACGTAAAGCCGCGCAGTGCAGTCGCGAGAAGGCCGCGAGTTGGCAACGATTTTTCTCACTTTTCTTCCTTTTTCTCCTTGGTAGATGATGGTTGTTGATGATAGTGTTGACAATGGTTGATAGTGTTGATATTGGTATGCTACTTATCATCTATAAATACCCACTTCATTCATCATCCAAACCATCTCCTAAAAATCCAAATTAATCACAATCCAAATTTATCACAATCCTTTAATCCTTCCATTACTTTCACTTAGTGTGTTTCTAGATTAGTTCTTGTGTTGAATTTTGGAGGTGTTCTCCAAGGCTTGTACTTGTTCCGGTTTGGCGTGTATTTATTCTCAGTTTGGCGTTTGTATCAACTTTATTCATCAACTTGGATTACATGTAAGTTTTCTTTCTTGTAATTATAATTTGCAATTAATCTTATGTTGAGTTTATTTTTGATATGAATAGCTAAATCATTAGCTAGGGGTAGGGAATAATTATTCCGGTTTAAGCTCGTTTATACGCATGTTGATAATTCCATCTTGACGAGTTGTTTTAATCATGAATTAATAAATTAAACTTGGTAAATCTTTATAAGCTAAGAGTGACACTTAGGTTAATTTTATGATATAATCAAAGAGTGACACTTTGATTTGTGCTTGATATTGATTTATTAAGTTAGAGTTTGTTAATTTTGTGAATTACAATTTGTAGAACCGAGAGGGGAGGAGTTGTAAAAAAATAATTTATTTCATAACCGAAAGGGGAGAAATTGATAGAACTTGGCTCGTTTAGAATAGACATGTTCGGAGACGTATTGTCTATGTGTTAATTGTTTCGTTAATTTGCTCGTTTATGCTTTTCTATATATTACGAGAGTTAGTATGGTTGAACTGCTAAATGAGTTAGTTAGTTGAACTACTTAACCGAGTTATTGATTGTCGTTGAATGAGTGTAAAACCGGAAGTGATTTATTCCCGATTCCCTAGCTTCTTTATTATTGTCTTGTTTATATTTTTAGGTAGATTATTATTGTTATTTCTTAGTTGATATTTTAGTTAATTATTATTCAATCCATTTTGATTAGAGTGTTTAGGATTTATTTTCATTATTTTCCGTAATCGATGTATAAGTTAATCGACATCAATATTAAATTCCGAACAGTCTTCCTCGAGAGATCGACTCGGGAAACGAATCATTTGATTCGGTGCTCGGTAAAAAGAAAATAATTTGTACACAACACATATATAATACCACATGTGAGTTGTCACATCGTTTATACTGGGAAATAGACCCAACTTCTAAGTTTAGTGGGCTACTCTTCCTACCACCAATTGGTTTTGGGATGAAACCTCACTATAGTACATCTAGGCTCACCCTGTTATGGTGCGCTTCACGTGCATGAGACTGCACCCGATTTTCCTGATTCTTACACCAATAATTTGTGGACGAGTTTGACTTGAATCGTTTAGTAAATGAGCTCGATCAGTTGTTCGAGCTCAACCAACGAGCGTAATCGAACTATGGACAGAAAATTTGATTCGAATTACAACTTTTATGAGTAATGCTTTGAAAATTTTGTTGAAAAAAAAAGATTACCTTTTATGTTTATATATGTTGCTAAAGAAATCTCATTTGTCTTTCAATATCCAATCACCTAGCAATATATATTATCTAATGACCGTCTAGCATCTACTTAAAAAGTCTATATGTTACCTAATTGAGTTTTAACTAGAAAGATCTTGTGACATGGTGAACGAGTGATCACTAATTGGTGATTCGTGGTTGCCTCTACCATAACAATATAATAATTGGCAAGACTAATTATTTATCACTTTAGCACAATAATCGAGTTATTGCATTTGAGATGTGCTTTAGACCAATTCCAACTGAACGCAAAAACCTAAAAAATGCAGTGGAAACACTTCAATGCAAACGGAAACTCAAAATGAGTTTTTCCCTTTCTCTCTCCACCTTCAGACGCAAATTTGCCCCAAAAAAATGATTTGAATTGTATTTTGGCCCCTTGTGTAAAAGTTAGTGAAAGAAATATATATATATATATATATATATATATATATATTTTAATTTTTGTAACTATAATGTTGTTATTTTTTATTTGAATGAACAAAATATATATTATTTGTTGGGTTGTAAATTGTTATTTTTTATATAAATATATAATAAAAAACTAGTTACAAAATATACTTGTTTCTAATTTATATTTATACGTGTTTTCATATTACTTGGCACAATTAAAATAATAGTAAAAAAATATAAAATATAAACAAATAGAATTAGACATTTATATATAGGGTGTGAACATTCTATAATAGGTTTAATCAAAATATTATGAAAGTATTTGTACAATATTTCTAGTATATTCATTTGAATAAAAAATTATAAAAGTATTTGTAAAATATTTCTAGGAGATTTCTAAAGAAGTTTAAATAAATTTGTGAAGAGATTAAGAAATTATTGATAGTAAATTCAAATAATATAACCTTTTTTAAAATATAATTAAAATTTAATATATTACTATTATATTTATCATTTAATTTTATATGTTTCACAATAATAATATAAAATAAAAATATTATATGTGCGTTATAATTTTTAATTTTATC